CTCAACACAATAGAATTCTGAGTGAGTAAAGCCCCAGAGAGAAAGAGAGAGAGAGAGAGAACGGTGAATATATATATATATATATATATGTAACCACGTTATTTGCCCTCTGTTGACTACATATATATATATATGCGTCGCGGATATCCCATTGGTATTTGTTATATACACACACACAGGTATATTCCCGTGATACCAACCTCTTACACTCCACTCACTTCGTTCCAAGCGTCAGTGACTTCGCGTCCGCCGGTTCGTTCGGACCTACTCGAAAAAAGTACTCAAAACATTTTTTCTCTCTATTTCTTTTATTTATCAAAAATTTTAAAGAGTAATTTTTAACTCTTTCGAAAAATTCAATTACTCGTCAAAATGAAAATTGTGAGATTTCTTGAGTTTCAGTTCTTTTTTATTGAATGTGTAACACAATTGGGAATAGAGTGAATTTTGTTTCTATAAATGAAGTGAAGTTTATTTTATAAGGATCGCTAAACAAGTTTTCTTTTTTTTTGGTATTTTGTGAAAGAGTTTTGAAATTATTTCATTCGATGTGAGAATTGCACTATTTTTTAAAAATTAACTTTTTTTCTAAACTTTAGTTTAATTTTATTTATGTTATTCAAACTTGTCAAATTTATTCGGAACGTATAACATTTATCCAATAGAACTGTTTTAGATTTATTAAACTAAAGTTAGGGTTCTTTAAACTCAACTTTTTTCCAACTTAACTTCTTTCCATTTTTTTCAAATTATTTCAAACTCAACTTCTTTTTGACATATAACTTTCTTTCGAGTTTACTTTTTCAAAACTTAACTTTTTTCCAAGTTAAGTTCTTTACAACTTAACTTATACTTAACTAATTCAAACTTAACTTCCTTATTCAAGTTAATTTTCTGTAAAGTTAACTTTTTCCAAGTTATTTTTATCCAAGTTAACTTTTTTTACAACTTTACTTGTTGTGACTTAACTTTTTTTTGACATAACTTTTTTTCCAAATTAACTTATTTACAACTTAACTTTGTTTTGACTTAACTTACTGAAACTTAACAACCTTCCAACTTAATTGTTTTAAACTTAACTTTTTGCTGAATAAACTTCTTTCCAACTTTTGACGTAACCTTAAACTTATTTAAACTTAACTTTCAATCAATGAAACTTTGTTCCAACAAAATTTTTTACCAAATTAACTTTTACCAACTTAACTTTCTGCCAAGTTAATTTTGTTCCAACTTAACTTTCTGCCACGTTAATTTCGCTTCAACTTAACTTTCTGCTAAGTTAATTTTGTTCCAACTTAACTTTCTGCCAAGTTAATTTTGCTCCAACTTAACTTTCTGCCTATAGTTAACTTGGTTCCAATAACGCAACTTTCTGCCAAGTTAACTTATTCATTTCAAACTTAAGTTCTTCGAACTTAACTACTTTCATGTTAACTTGGTTCCAACTTAACTTTCTGCCAAGTTAATTTTGTTCCAACTTAACTTTCTGACTAGTTAACTTGGTTCCAACGTAACTTTCTGCCTATAGTTAACTTGGTTCCAACTTAACTTTCTGTCAAGTTAACTTGGTTCCAATAACGCAACTTTCTGCCAAGTTAAGTTATTCATTTCAAACTTAAGTTCTTCGAACTTAACTACTTTCAAGTTAACTTGGTTCCAACTTAACTTTCTGTCAAGTTAATTTTGTTTTAACTTAACTTTCTGCCAAGTTAACTTGGTTCCAATAACGCAACTTTCTGCCAAGTTAACTTGGTTCCAACTTAACTTTCCGACAAGTTAACTTGGTTCCAATAACGCAACTTTCTGCCAAATTAACTTATTCATTTCAAACTTAAGTTCTTCGAACTTAACTACTTCCAAGTTAACTTGATTCCAACTTAACTTTCTGCCAAGTTAATTTTGTTCCAACTTAACTTTCTGCCTAGTTAACTTGGTTTCAACGTAACTTTCTCCTAAGTTAACTTGCTTTTAATTTAACTTTCTGCCAAGTTAACTTCGTTTCAAACTTAACATGCCTTCCAAGTTAATTTGGTTCCAACTTAATTTATTTTGACTCAACATTTTCAAACTTCGCTTCTTTCCAAGTTAACTTCTTTAAACTTAAATTTTTCATACTTAACTTCTTTTCCACTTAACGTCTTCTCTAATTTTTCCCTAAATTAAAAAATCCCCCCCCCCCCAAAAAAAGATTCCTAAATTTTTTAAATTTCTCTTTTTTTTATATAGGTTTAGTCGATAATTTCTTTTTTTTTTGTCGGCAATTTTTTTCTATTAATGTTATATTTATATATACATGAATGTAAATTCACCCCAACGTGAGCATAAACCTTGAGACGATTGACCCCTACGGCAAACTCTATATATACGAGAGTTGGTACACTCTAAGCATGTCAGAGTAAGAGAGAGAGAGAGAGAGAGAGAGAGAAACTTTAACATAGAAAGGTTTACGAACTTGTTCAGAATTCGAGAGAGGCGAATATCGGTAACTCGTTCGAATCTACATAAATAATAGTCGAGAAAGAAGAGAAGAAAAGAAAAGTCGTCTGTTCTCTTTCAACCGCAAGTCAATTCCCGACGGGGTGGATATACATACATACACATATATATATAGATAGATAGAGGAAACAAGAAGAAGAAGGGGTATTCCAACAATTTGTCGAGAGACGATTTACGATGGATAATTTATTGCCCCGGCCAATCGAAGGCCTATCGCTATATATATATATATATATATACGTGTATTGGAATAAAGGCCCCCACAACTATACATATATGAGACTTGTGTATAGTCATCAGAGTATATACTCCATTTACCAACAACACATAAGGGGGGGGGAAGAAGGGGAATTTATAGTAACGATAAAAACTTCATTTTATTTTTAGATGTTTGCAATATTTAGTTCACTTTTGCTCTTGTGTTGCTTGGAAAAGAGGTGGGGGGGAGAGGAAGGGGTATTAAGGAATCTTGTTCTTTGTAAAGTGCGTTTTCAATCTTTGGATAGATATATACAGGTACTACCAATTTGTGATAATATACACAAATCATAAATTGGTAGTACCGCACCTTGTGTGGAAATATTTCACAGTTCTGTATACAGTTACTGTTCCGAGTTATATTATTTTCTATATATAGGCACTGGATAGGTGAACTGTACCGAAACTAGCTAGAAATGTTACGCTACGACTTGCAAGTTTCTATATACTAAAAAATATGTGTCAAACTTTATGGAAACTATCTAGTTTCTAAATACGGAAACTGTATGGAAACTATATAATTTGTAGATAGAAAAACTGTATGGAAAGTATACAATTACTAAATAGGCAAACTATATGGAAATTATCTAGGTTTTAGATAGGCGAAGTGTATAGGAACTATCTAGTTTTTAGATAATTAAACTATATGGAAACTATCTAGTTTCTTGATAGGTAAACTGCATGGAAACTATCTAGTTTCTAGATATTAAAACTATAAAGTAACTATCTAGTTTATAAATACTAAAACTATATTTTTTTCTTCATAGGCAATAACTGTATAAAACCAATCTAGTCTTCAGATACTTAAACTATATGGAAATTATCTAGTTTCTAAATAATTAAACTGTATAGAAACTATAGAGATTATACAGAAATGCTAGAACAGTTATACGATCTAGACTAGTAAAAGCAGTTTAACTATCAAGTTTCTAAATACTGAAACTATTTGGAAACTATCTAGGTTCTAGATAGGCAAACTGTATAAAAACTATCTAGTTTCTAGATACTTAAACTATATGGAAAGTACTTAGACTATTCAGAAAGGTTAGGTCCATTATTCTATCCAGTTTCTAATTAGTTAAACTATTTGGAAATTATCTAGTTTATTTGGAAATTGTCAAGACAGATATACTATCCAGTTTCTGGATACTTGAACTATATGGAAACAATCTAGTGCATCTGCATATTATTTAGAATAGATTTAGAATAGTTTTAGGATAGTTTTTGAACAGGTTTCAAATTGGTTTAGAATAGATTGAGAATAGATTTAAAATAGTATTAGAATAGTTTTAGAGTAGGTTTTGAATAGGCTTAAAATAGGTTTTCTAGATAGAACCTAGTTTCTCAATAAAAAAAAAAGTTAATGACGTTACAAATTACCAAGAAATTTTCCCACACAGGTATATATATTAATTTTTGTATTTTACGATTGATCAAACATCGCATTTGAGAAAAGAAACAAGTTTTATATATAATATTCAAACTCAAGAAATCTACAATTTTTTTTCTCCTTTCTTGTTAACAAGTTTTAATATATATGTAGATGTGATTTCATATTTTAAATCTTTAAAATCAACTCTTAAAATTTAAAATCAATTTCCTGTTTCTTAGGTTATGCCATAAATCTCTCAAAATGGGAATGTGGAAATATTTGCAAAAATTTGGAAACAAGTGATTTTGGATCAATATAACAGTTTAGAACACAGTTTTATAAAAAAAAAGGGGAGTTTTCTAAAGGTACACAAACTCCCTCTTCTCACTGTTTCGAAGGATATAAATCGACTTTAGATATTGCTCGTTTTCATCTGATGATGATCTTGAGTATAGGAAACGAACTGTAAATCATAAACGCCAAGGGGGTTCGAACTCAGGAGGTATATATATATATATATATATATATATACAGAAGAGATATAAGTGCCTTTTGCGTCGTTGATAGTTGGTCGCGCGCTCGCGATATTCTTATATTGAGAGAGAGAGAGAGAAAAAGAGAAAGAGAGTGTGGCCAATCGAGTAATGATCCATCCTCCAACTGTCCATCTTAAATCACCCACGAGTGCTTGATAATCGAAAAAACAAAAAATGGTAATAGAAATAAACCATATTTTTGTTTGCTATTGTTTTTACTGGCAAAAGAATCAAGTAACAGGAATGATAAACATCTACCAATAATAATAATAATAATAATAATAATAATAATTGATCGCAAAAATGAATGTAAATAATGATCAAATGTGGATCCTAATGATCAAATATGAATTAAAATGAACAAACTGAAACTTAATTTTAACTTGATCATGATGATTACATGATAATAATAATAATAATAATAATAATAATATAATAATAATAAAAGTAGACTAAAAATTGATTTCCGATTTCTTTTTCTTTTCAACTGAAAGATATTATCTCACCGACTCGAACTATAGTGACATAATTGAAAATCAAGTGCCGTTCAAAACTTATTATTAAGCGGTAAACCACTGTCGAGTTGTGAGAGCAATGGTTTGAGACAAATGTTATCCTCAAGACTTTGAAATCAGTGAAGTGTTAATAATTTTTAAGAATTGTTTCTTTCCTCGCTGTGAAATAAAAAAAGAAAGTTTCTCCTCTTTTAAATTTTGTTCTATTATTTCAACAAAGGATAATTTTCACTTCTATAATATATGTATATCATTTTCAATAAAATGTAAACAAGTTTTAAAAAAAAATTAGAAACAAGTTAAGTTTGAAAAAGTTGAGTCAAAACAAGTTAAGTCGGAACCAAGTTATGTTGGAACCAAATTAACTTGGAAGGAAGTTAAGTTCGAAGAAGTTGAGTTTGAAACGAAGTTAACTTGGCAAAAAGTTAAGTTAGAATGAAATTAACGAGGCAGAAAGTTAAGTTGGTACAAACATAACTTGGCAGAAAGTTAAGTTGGTACAAAATTAACTTGGAAGGAAGTTAAGTTCAAAGAAGTTGAGTTTGAAACAAAGTTAACTTGGCAAAAAGTTAAGTTAGAATGAAATTAACGAGGCAGAAAGTTAAGTTGGTACAAAATTAACGTGGCAGAAAGTTAAGTTGGTACAAAGTTAACTTGGAAGGAAGTTAAGTTGGTACAAAATTAACTTGGAAGGAAGTTAAGTTCAAAGAAGTTGAGTTTGAAACAAAGTTAACTTGGCAAAAAGTTAAGTCAGAATGAAATTAACGAGGCAGAAAGTTAAGTTGGTACAAAATTAACTTGGAAGGAAGTTAAGTTGGTACAAAGTTAACTTGGAAGGAAGTTAAGTTGGTACAAAATTAACTTGGAAGGAAGTTAAGTTCAAAGAAGTTGAGTTTGAAACAAAGTTAACTTGGCAAAAAGTTAAGTCAGAATGAAATTAACGAGGCAGAAAGTTAAGTTGGTACAAAATTAACTTGGAAGGAAGTTAAGTTGGTACAAAATTAACTTGGAAGGAAGTTAAGTTGGAACGAAATTAACGTGGCAGAAAGTTAAGTTGGAACTAATTAACTTGTCAGAAAGTTAAGTTGGTACAAAAATAACGTGGAAAACAGTTAAGTTGGTACAAAATTAACTTGGAAGGAAGTTAAGTTGGAACGAAATTAACGTGGCAGAAAGTTAAGTTGGAACTAATTAACTTGTCAGAAAGTTAAGTTGGAACTAATTAACTTGTCAGAAAGTTAAGTTGGTACAAAAATAACGTGGAAAACAGTTAAGTTGGTACAAAATTAACTTGGAAGGAAGTTAAGTTGGTACAAAATTAACGTGGCAGAAAGTTAAGTTGGAACGAAATTAAAGTGGCAGAAATTAAAGTTGGAACTAATGAACTTGTCAGAAAGTTAACTTGGAACGAAATTAACGTGGCAGAAAGTTAAGTTGGAACCAAATTAACTTTATTGGCAGTTAAATTCGAAGAATTTAAGTTTGAAACGATGTTAACTTGGCAGAAATTTAAGTTAGAACGTAATTAACGTGGACAAAAGTTAAGTTGAGACGAAATTAACGTGGCAGAAAGTTAAGTTGATACAAAATTAACTTGAAAGGAAGTTAAGTTCGAGCAAAATTAACATTGAAAAAAGTTAATTTGAAAAAAAAGTTAACTTAGAAGATGTTAAATTTCAAGAAGTGAAATCAGAAAATGTTAATTTTGATATAAAACCAATTTAGAAACAAAGTTGGAATGTAGTTAAGTTAAAAAATTAGAAAAAAATTTTCAAAATCAATTTAATAAAAAACTGAAGTTAAAAAAGAAGTTAATTTAAAAAAAATAGTGCCGCCAGTTACTTTTTTTCCGACAATTTAATTTATTTCTCTTTAAAATAAAAAGTGTCGTGCTTTTCAGTGACTTTTTCTCTTTTTTGTCAAAAAAAAAAAAAATTTCTAAATATTTATATTTTTAATATTATAAAATATTAAATTTGAATATATTGAAATTAAAAAAACATTATTTAAGTTCTAAATGAAAAGGAAAAATGTCATCAAATGGAGAATTTTCAACGATATCAAGTGGGGAGATACCATCGTTGCCAAAATCATTGCCTAGTTCAAGGGAGGCAACAGCCGAGGGTAATTCAAGTACAGGTGGAGGCAGTTTTTCACCGTTGAGAGAATTTCTCGATAGATTCTCACTGCCAAGAGTTGTTAGATTGGAGGGTACAGCGGGACGGCCAATTTTACTCTATAAACAACAGCAACGTTCATTGAGAGTGACAGCAACATTATTGATGCATCGCTATCGTCATGACGTTAAAGTTGGACCCGAAATTGTTATTCCCGAAGGATATCCGGGTAAGATATATATGAAAAAAATTTCAATTAATTTATTGATTTCTTTACTTTTATGCAGGTATTATTATCAAAAGAAAACAAAATTTTAACTTCGTCCATATACTAAATTGACTTTTATTTTTCAAGCAATTTAATTTCTAAAGCCATATAATAAATTTTAGAAATATACCAATTTTAATTTAAGTGCTCAAAATAAGCGGGCGCTATTAAAAAAAATTGACCTTTCGTTTTTTAAAAAAAAACGCCTCTAAATTAGTTTAATAAAATGAAAATTTTCACGCATCTCGAAAAATATTTCTCCTCTTTTTTTGTTTCTGCTTTTAGTATAAGAAAAAGAATCAATTTTCAATTCTATCTACTCTATACAGAAAGTAATAGACAATTTCTATATACATAGTTCAGTATCTAGAAACTAGATAGTTTCCATATAGTTTGCCTATCTAGCAAATAGATAGTTTCCATATAGTTTGCCTATATAGCAAATAGATAGTTTCCATATAGTTTGCCTATATAGCAACTAGATTATTTTTGTATAGAGCAAATATCTAGAAATTAGATAGTTTCTACATAGTTTTTCTATTTAGAAACTTTTTAGAATAACATACCTAACCTTTCTAAATAATCTCAATAGTTTCCATACAGTTTAAGTATCTAGAAACTAGATAGAATAACATGCCTAACATTTTTAAATAATCTAAATAGTTTCCACTCAGTTTGCCTATCTAGAAACTAGATAGTTTCCTCACAGTCTGTCTATCTAGAACCTACATAATTTTAATATAGTTTGCCTATCTAGTAACTAGATAGTTTCCATAAAGTTAGCCTGCATAGAACCTAGATAATTAATATATCGTTCACCTATCCAAAAACTGTATAGTTTCCATACAGCTTGCCTACCTAGTAAGTAAATCGTTTTCATACAGTTTGCCTGTGTAGAAACTAGATAATTTCCATAGTTTTCCTATATGGAAACTAGAGAGTTTCTATAAAATTTGCCTATATAGAACCTAGATTTACATATACTTGACCTATTCAAAAACTATATAGTTTCCATACAGTTTTCCTATCTAGAAATAAAATAGTTTCCATATAGTTTTTCTAACTAGAAACTACATTATTTTCATATGGTTCAAGTATATAAAAACTGGATAGTTTCCCTACAGTTTGTCTATTTAAAACCTAGTAGTTTTATATAGTTTCCATTCAGTTTTTCTATCTGGAAACTAGATAGTTTCCATTTAGTTTGGCTATCTAGAAACTAATTAGCCGTAGCGTTAAATTTGGAACAAATTAAGTGAAGAAGCATTGAAGTAGGAAAAAAGTTAAGTTGGAAAATGTTAATATAAAAAACAGTGAATTTAAATAAAAACCGTCTCTAAATTAAATGAAAAATTTTCCCATATTTTGAAAAATATTTCCCTTCTCTTTTTTTTTTGTTTTCTTGTTTTTTGTTATTGAAAATGTTTATAGTAGGAAAAAGAATCAATGTTTTTAACTCTTTTCTGCTGCTCTATGCTGAATAGTACGCGCGCCTATCCTTTTAATGGAGAATCGTGTGAGGAATTCCTTTTATATGCCGAAGAAGTTTCTTAATAGCTTTAAGGAAAAGAAATGATAGGATTTTCTTGCCTTAAATAATTTTCCTCGAAGTGATATATATCCACGGGCGACGACTCTCTGAACTTATATATATATATATATATATACTCGAACGGTAACTGTTGTACAAAATGATTGTTGTTGATCATTGCACTACTACTACTATTTCTATTCGGATTGGTATCATTAGAGAGAGCTACTGAGAAAAACGCGCATCTAAAAGAGAAAAAGAGAGTAGCTCACGATACGAAACTGCGTATATATATCTTTTCCCGGTTCAAGGAAAAAAAATATATTCGACTCGAGAATTACGAAAGCCTTTGAGAGAGTTTTAGAGCCACACTGTTGTGTTGGTATATACACCCAATGGTTTACTAGAGTTTGCTGGTGGTTATAAGCGTTGGTTATTAGCTAATTAGAAATTATGGGTTGTAACCTAGAGAGAGAGAAAGAAAGAAAGAGAGAGACAGAGAGAAAGTATAGCAGCTGGAATATTAGATCAAAATATACTTAAATGGTTGTTTCGAATCAATTTCTCCAACGGGGGGTCATATTTAGTATAACAAAGGTAATTTCTAAGTTTTTGATTATTTTTATTTAAAACTGTATACAGATGTTATGACAATATGTTACCTTAAAAAGGTATGGAAAATAGTTAACTTAAAAGAAAGTTAAATCGGAAGAAGTTAAGTCAAAACAAGTTAATTTGGAAGGAAGTTAAGTTGAAAAGTTATTAACGTCTATCCAAATTAACTTGTTTTGACTTAACTTCTTCCGACTTAATTTTCTTTCAAGTTAACTACTTTCCAACTTAACTTTCTTCCAAATTAACTTGTTTTGACTTAACTTTCTTTCAAGTTAAGTTGGAAAGTAATTAACTTGAAAGAAAGTTAAGTTAGTACAAGGTAAGTCAAAATAAGTTAAGTTAGTATAAGTTAAGTCAAAATAAATAACACCTCACAAAATAAGTTAAGTTAGAAGAAGTTAAGTCGAAAATAGTTAAGTTAGAAAGAAAATAAGTTGGAAGAATGCTAAGTTTGTATTATAGTTAAGCTAAAAAAAATTAAGTTTTGAAGAAGTTGAGTTAAAAAAACATTAACTTGGAAGGATGTTAAGTTAAAAAAACCTAATTTCGAAAAAAGTTAAATTTAAATAAGTCAATTTAAAAAAAATTAAGTTAAAATCAAGCCCAAAGTAAAATTGCCCCATCCAAAAACCTTGTATTCCAAAAAATAGTAATTTCTAAACACCTAAACCTAATTTTTACCACCAAGAGCCAAAAATTCTTTTTCTTTCGTATAAAAATAAAATTATCGCATATAAACTCAAAAAAGCCATATGTTTCCAAGAAATATTCTGGAATCATATATATATATATATATATATATATAGAAATTAAAAAACAAAGAAAAAGAAAATAAAGTAGACTAATGATAATAATTTTCATTTTGTATATTCCTTGAAGCTAGTCTCGGTAGCAGTCTGCAAAAGGCGTTAAGTGTAGTGGCTTGGCAAACCTATTAACGCGTTCACCACTGTGCAAAGACCCTTGGGGCTTTACCGCATGCAGTGACTTATATAAATTTTCTTATATATCTACATATATATATACTACGATTAGCAAAAAGAAATTTTATATTCAAATATCCTCTCACAATATTTGTATATTATTAAAAATTATTCTTAAAACGATTAAAATTTAATTTTAATTATATTATTATTATAATATTTTTTTGTCCTGTCATGTCGTTATATATGTATATATATAGAGAGAGAGTATAAAATTAAGTCATCGATCTTTGTAAAGAGAGTTTGTTGACTCAAAAGAGGTGAGTTGCGAGCAAAATGAGTCGATGGATGACAAGAAGGATATAACGTTGTCTTTCTCTGTCTCTCTTATTGAGAAAATGGAATTCCATGATGACGCAAAGTAAAGAGGCAAAGAATGCCACAAGGAGTAAATGTCCACTCGGGAATCTACCGTAGGAGACAAATGAAACGGTACACACCGCAAGTCTATATATATATATATATATGTGTGTGCAATTCTTTGGTGACGCTTTCAACTAACACCTCAACATTTCTTGGTTTATTTCAACTTTTATATACGTATATATAATAAAACTTTGAAATCATCTATATAAACTCATCTAGAATTCGTAGGCGTTAAATAATGTTTTCCTACTCAATTTACTGTTACGCCCCTGATAACCTGTTCTTTCAAGTTCGAATTTACGATCAGTGTGCGAATATTTGATGCATAATAAAATAAACTCTAAATTTTCAAATTTCGAAAAAAAGCCCTCTGTTATATTGCATGTATACTCTTCAGGAATGATTTAGAACGGGACAGTCACCCTGGGGTACTAATACGCACGAACAAATTTAACTTGAAAGGATGTTATGTTTGAAGAAGTTAAGTTGAAAAAAGTTTAATTCAAACGAAATTTAATTGGAAGTAAGTTTTAAAAAGTTAAGTTGGAAAGAAGTTAACTTGGCAGAAATTTAAGTTAGAGCAAAATTAACTTGGAAGAAAGTAAAGTTGGAACAAAATTAAATTGGCAGAAAGTTAAGTTGGAACGAAGTTAACTTAGAAGAACGTGAAGTTCGAAAAAGTTAAGTTTGAAACAAAGTTAAGTTAGAACCATGTTAACTTGGAAGGTAGTTAGGTTCGAAGAAGTTGAGTTTGAAACGAAGTTAACTTGGAACGAAATTAACGCGGCAGAAAGTTAAGTTGGAACCAAGTTAACTTGGAAGGTAGTTTAGGTTCAAAGAAGGTAAGTTTGAAACGAAGTTAACTTGGAACGAAGTTAACGTGGCAGAAAGTTAAGTTGGAACCAAGTTAACTTGGCAGAAATTTAAGTTTAAACAAAATTAACTTAAAAAAAAGTTAAGTCTGAAAGTGTTAACATAAAGGCAAAACAAGTTAAGAACTTAAATGAAAAAAAGTTCAGTTTGAATTAAAAACTTAACTTCAATGGATGTATATATACTTTCAAAACCCGGAAAAAAAGAAGGAAACAGTAATTTTTAATATTATTTTATATACATCCGCCAAATTGTATAATTACGACATTTTATTATGGAATGAAAAAAAATTGTGTTGAGAAATATCTTACTAGAAGCGAGAGTGTCTTGTGAAATAGAAGCAAAAATTTTTTTTTTCATCAATGACGTCAGAGATGCAAAAGATATATAAAAAAAAGGAATGAATATAATTTAATTACAAAATAGAGGTCGATTTTCGCCTTTTAGTTGTGAATATTGATTAAATCTCTATTTATGCGTCAATATATATATATATATAGAGTTGTCGAAGTGTTCTCGAATCGAGGACAGATGAGGTGGCGTTGGAATTCCACATCAGTGAAAGGAAATACGCTACGAAAAGAAGGAAAGTA